TACTCCCCAGGCTGAACTCAGGATCATGGTTCAAAGCCAGTCCTGGCAAGAAAGACCGTGAGACTTCTATCTCCAATAAACCACTCAGAAAACCAGAAGTGCTACAGTGGCTCAGGTGGTAGAGCACTAGCCTTGAGCTGAAAAGCTGATAGACAGCATTCAGGCCCAGAGTTCAAAAAAAAAAACCCCATAACAAACAAAAAAACAAAAACAACTACAACAGATCTACAAAAGGAATGAGAAACCAGAATTAATAAATACAGAGGAAAAGATTTTTAAAATTATCTTTGTATTTGTTCCTTTTCCTAATTTCTTTAAAAGGCAACTATCTGGGACAAAAATAATTTTATACATAAACTCGGGGGGGGGGGGGGGCCGGGCATGTATAGTGGTCCATGCTTGTAATCCCAGCTACTAGTGAAGCTGAGGCAGGATTCTAAATTAGAGGCTAACCTGGACAACTTAGGGAGATCTTATCTCAAAAAATTTTTTAAAAAGATGTATAGATAAAAGGCAGTAGAAAGTACAAAGGGAAATGTCAAAGAAGGCTTGATTCCCTCCCCAAAAGGGAGAGAAGATGGACCAAAGGAAAATCAATGACAAAAGAGGACAAAATAAAGATGGAACAAACAGAAATGCAACACAGTACGTTAACACAAATTATAAATAATACCTAAATGTTAATGAATAAATACTATGAAAATGAGCTAAATGGCCAGGAATGTGGCTTAGTGGTAGAGTGCTTGCCTAGCATGCAGGAAGCCCTGGGTTCAATTCCTCAGTACCACATAGCAGAAAAGGCTAGAAGTGGTGCTGTAGCTTAAGTGGTAGAGTGCTAGCCTTGAGCAAAAGTAGCTCAGGAACAGTGCCCAGGCCCCAAGTTCAAGCGCCAGGACTGACAAAAAAGAAAAAGAGAAAAAAAGAAAAAGAAAAGAAAGAAAATATGAACTAAGCTGAAAAAAAAAATCACAGATTATCAGACTGCATATAAAAGCAAGACTCGATATGTTACTTGCAAAAGATACATTTTAAATATAAACAGGGAGAAGAATGTTAAAATAGATTGCAACTATGAAAATAGAACAATGAAACCAGTTGAAATTGTTCTGGAAAGCAGGGAAGGGAGAGTGATAGAATGAGATTGACTGGAATACATTGTAAACATATGAACATGGGTGAAATGAACAGTGACAGCCTCCCTAAAGAACTGATGCAAGATATAGATACACACACATATACATGCATCTGTATATCACATAATATATATGATATGTACATGGTATCTGATATATATGATGGTGGGAAGATAGATAGATATATATATATAATATAAAACAAATAGTATACATAAGAAAGTTGAAGTGTTCAAACCCTAGTACTGCCGGAAGAAATGGGAGGAGGGAGGGAGAGAGGAAGGAAGGAAGGAAGGAAGGAAGGAAGGAAGGAAGGAAGGAAGGAAGGAAGGAAGGAAGGAAGGGAGGGAGGGAGGGAGGGAGGGAGGGAGGGAGGGAGGGAGGGAGGGAAGGAGGGAGGGAGCAAGGGAGCAAAGAAGCAAGCCAGAAAGCAAGCACACTAGAGTGGCTAAATTCATATCAAAAGTGGCTTAAGTGGTCAAATAAATGGCCAGCAAGCAGTAGGCCCTGACTTCAAACCCTAGCAACACCAAACAAATAAACAAAACCCATAGATTTTAAGAGAAGAAGAATTCTGGGATAAAGAGGGACACATAAAAATATCAGTTTATGGGGCTGGGAAGTTGGCTCAGTGGTAGAGCACTTGCCTTGCATGCCTGAAGCCCTGGGTTCGATTCCTCAGCACCACATAAGCAAAAAGAAAAACCTGGAAGTGGAGCTGTGACTCAAGTGGTAGAGCGCTAGCCTTAAGCTGAAGAGCTGAGGGACAGCACCCAGGCCCAGAGTTCAGGCCCCATGACCGGACCCAAAAGAAAAAAAAATATATCAGTTTATGGGCTGGGAAGGTGGCTCAGTGGTAGAGCACATGCCTTGCATGCATGAGGCCCTGGGTTAAATTCCTCAGCACCATATACGCAAAAAGAAAAAAGCCGGAAGTGGCGCTGTGGCTCAAGTGGTAGAGCACTAGCTTCGAGCTGAAGAGCTGAGGGACAGTGCCCAGGCCCAGAGTTCAGGCCCCATGACCAGACCCCCCCCCCCCCAAAAAAAATATCAGTTTATCAGAGAGCTATTATATATCAATGAGAAGTATCATTTGATTTTTTGAAAGTTATATATGTGTTACTTTGATTTTATCAAAGCAAGAATGACTCCCATTGCAGTTGCAATTCAACAGTGTATACAGTGTTGCATTGAATTACTTAGTTATAGTCATCAAGACAAGCACAAACAGGTTGGGGAGCAAATCACTGATCTTGATGATGGAACACTAAGCTGACCATATGGGGGCTTGTGCCAAGGAGACTCAGCCTTCAGCATGCCAAGGCCGCTTAGTTGGTATGTTTTACAGCAAAAATCCAGGGCACTGGTTAACCTACTGAGTCATTGAAACAGAGGTCGATTAAAGAGCTTCTATTGTAATTAATTGAGATAATAAAGGAGGATGAAATAAAATAGCCTTCCTCCATCCACTATTGCTTCCCTAATCTCTCCCCAGGGGTTAGATAGAATAGCTCAAGATCATTCTTCCTGGAGTCACTGGGTTCTCCCTGAAATATCAGTCCTCTCTGGGAAAATCTGCAAACGAAGATAAGTTAGAACTGTTTGAAAGGACAAGCTATTCTAGATGCCCTTGGTTCTCACTGGTAAGGAAAGCCAAAGACATAACAAAGCCAGATCTTCCCTTTGCACCATAATGGGTCTTTCTTAAAAAATTCTATAACTACATTTATTCCATCCTTGCCTCCTTCTCCTTTGCATTTTGCTAAGTACTCAGCGCCACACACACGGAAAATGAACAGACAAGTTCAAAACAAAACCTGAGACCCAACCTCCTGATCTCTGTGGAGAAAGCTTGCAGAAAATCTTAAGTCTCAAAGGCTGACCTGCCCCTGTCAATGAAGCTGTAAGGGTCTGCGTGTTAGAAGACAAGATGGATACACTGCCCCTTTTCAACAAGTCAGCCAAATATTCATCTCTATGCTGTGCTATCTTGAGCAATAATCTGCAGATGTGCTGCACAGTCAGGAGAATCTATTTTCTGCTCTTCTACTTGGATTCGATTCTGGAACACCTAGGAACAGGAGAGCCATCTCCTCTCCAACATTTGCTGAGTCCACAGAGTTGTGCCAGCCCTTCCGGATACTAAATTGTCAAATTTCCTGAACAGCTAAAACTAGAAAACCAACCAAGGCAGAAATTGGCATTTAACAGAGGCAACATCATTAAATGATTTTCTCTTTTGCTATGGGCTGAATGTGCATTTCCCCACCAAAGTCTTAGGCTGAATTCCTGGCCTCCCCGTGATCATGGAGGTAGTGCCTGTAGGAGGTTGTTAAGATGACAAGGAATGGATTAGTACTCAAATAAAACAAAGGCAGCTCATTTGTCCCTTCGATCATGTGAGGGGACACACACACACACACACACACACACACACACACACACACAGAGTAAGAGGTGCCATTTACACAGCAAGAACTGGACCCTCACCAGACTCAAATCAGCCTTGATGTTGGCCTTGCAGTCTCCAGTACTGTGGAAAATAAATGTCTATTGTTCATGAATCATTCAGTCTGAGGTATTTTGTTATTCTAAGACACCATCCATTCAATATGTTGATTCAATCAGGAGGGACAATCTGAGCCTTCTGAAAGGCTTATAGCCTTATGCAACCCTTGGAGCCTATGCAAATCAATGCAAAATAAGTACTTTCCTTACTTGGTCCTTGGCAAAAATACCCTCAGATTATAAACCTGGTTCAGACACATACATGTCCCATTGGTCGAGTTTCATGAAGAATTTTTGAGCATGGATATAACTCTGTGGAGAGCATTTGTTTAGGTATGGTAAGGCTCTAGGTTCAACCCGAGTACTAGGTGGAGAACAAACAAAACCACTTATTATTTGAGCACAATGAAACCTTTGATCCAGGAAGCTATGGCACAGGCTGTAATCCTAGCTACTCACAAAGCTGAGATTTGAGGATTATGGTTCAAAGCCATGCCATGCAGAAAAATCTGTGAGGCTCTTTTCTCCAATTATCTACCAAAAAAAGGCAGAAGTACAGTGGTGGCTCAAGTGAAAAGCAGCCTTGAGTGAAAAAGCTAAGCCACAGCACCAGGCCTGGAATTCAAGCCCCAGTCCCAGCATAAAACAAACAAACAAACAAAGGCTGCAGTGGTCATTGTCTGATTCTGACTCTTATTTCATACCACCATTCTTGGGAGGTGTGGTGTCTAGATCAGCTATGAAAGTTATCTAGAGGGGCTGGGAATGTGGCTTAACGGTAGAATGCTTGTCTGGCATGCATGAAGCCCTGGGTTCAATTCCTCAGTACCACATAAACAGAAAAAGCTGGAATTGGCACTGTTGCTCTCAAGTGGTAAAGTGCTAGCCTTGAGCAAAAGAAGCTCAGGAACAGTGCCTAGGCCCTGAGTTCAAGCCCTGGGACTGGCAAAAAGAAAAAAATTATCTAGGGGACAAAAACTATAGCTCAGAGGTAGAGGTGTGCTTAGCATGTGCAAGGCCCTGGGTTCAATCCCTAGCATTAAATAAATAAATAAATAAATAAAGTGGAAGTTACCTGTGCTTACATTTTTATTTTTTACAGGTAACCATTCCAATCACCTTCAAAATACTGTGGAGGTCCCTCTTACCTTATTTCTTATTCTGCTCCACCCAGCTCTTCAGACCCATTGAGCTCTGGGTGATTCTACTTTCCCAACATTGACTTTGAGCTATTGGCAGAGGACTGTTGAGCTACAGGATGTTTTTCTAATTGGAGTCCACATCTTCCCCAGCACTTCTAAATCAAGACGGGAGGGAGGGGAGGAGGGGAAGGGGGGGCGTGCATCGGCAGAAAGGTACCTCAGTGTCAGAGCTGTTGCCATTCAGGGCCTCGATGTTTGGGTCCCTCCAGTCTTCTGAGAGTGAAGGGATGTAATTGTCTGTCAGAGCATCCCAAACCCTGTAAACAAAGAGAAGCTCTCATTAGCACGCATCTGTGGCCTGGCCCCGCCTGGAGGAAGGAAGAGCTGGGGCCAAGGCAGGAGAGAGGCTGTTGTGTGTGTCGGGCTGAGATCATCTGCCTTCCAGCATGCAGAGGCAAAGCAACTGGAAAATGGAATTAGAGGCGAGTCCAAGGGAGAAAGAGCCAAGGGTATGGAGCCTGGCCAGGGCTCCAGCACAAAAAGAAATTAATCTGCTCTCCAACCAAATTATTCATTCTCAGAACCTAAGCAGTAACTCTGTTCCTATTCCTATGGGGAGGGGGAGTATTAGGATAGTTTTTCTCAGATGAACCCCTTTAAGATTAAGGTTATTGAACCAATCATCAATGGCTCACACTTGTAATCCTAGCTACACAGGAAGCTGAGATCTAAGGATTGAGGTTCAAAGCCAGCCCAAATAGGCCAGCTTGTGATACTCTTATCTCCAATTAACTATCAAAAAAAAAAAAAAAGCTAGAAGTAGATCTGTGGCTCAAGTGGTAGAGCACTAGCCCTGAGCAAAAAGAAGCCTAGGCCCTGAGTTCAAGCTTCTGGACTGGCACACACACACACACAAAAAGATTAGGGTTATCATCCAACCTATACACATTTCAATGTCAAAGGCCTGCAGTGTATGATCACCAATTAATTCCTTGACCTGTAATGTAGGCAAGGGGAAATTGCCAAGGCCTTGAATAACCACTTGAATAACCCAAAATGTTCTTGGGGAGGATGTGGGGAGCACAATGATATCCTCTAGTAATGTTGAGTTTGAGTGTGCCCTGTCTCTGCCATGCACACTCTAAGATAAATATGTCTATACAGTTAGTTCTTGGTTGGGGAAAATGAGGTTACTTTGGTTTACATTTCTTTTTTTTTTTTTTGGGTCCAGTCGTGGGCCTTGAACTCTGGGCCTGGGCGCTGTCCCTCAGCTCTTCAGCTCAAGGCTAGTGCTCTACCACTTGAGCCACAGCGTCACTTCCGGCTTTTTTCTTTTTGCTTATGTGGTACTGAGGAATCGAACCCAGGTCCTCAGACATGCAAGGCAAGCGCTCTACCACTGAGCCATCTTCCCAGCTGGTTTATATTTCTTTAAAAATTTCTGGGCTGGGAAGGTGGCTCAGTGGTAGAGCGCTTGCCTTGCATGCATGAGGCCCTGGGTTCGATTCCTCAGCACCACATAAGCAAAAAGAAAAAGCCGGAAGTGGCACTGTGGCTCAAGTGGTAGAGCGCTAGCCTTGAGCTGAAGAGCTGAGGGACAGTGCCCAGGCCCAGAGTTCAGGCCCCACGACCAGACCCAAAGAAAAAAAATTCTGATATGTGAGTTGGAGGCATGGTTCAAGTGGTAGAACACCAGCCAAGCAAGTCCAGCAAGGACCAAGTCCCAAGTTCAATTCCTGGCACCACCAAAAACTTAATAATAGAAAATAAATAAAATAAAAATTGTAAGAGTTTCCTACAAATATTATCACTTGCCTCATATATCACCAAAAGATCTTTTTGGGAAAAATAGAGCAGGCTGTGTGGGCTGGGTAGTGGTAGAACACTTGCCCAGCATAAGCAAAGCCCTGGGTTAGATCTCTACCATCATTTTTTTTTTTTAAAGGCAGGATTGGGGAAAAATCTGAAATCATAATCACAAATCAAGAAAAAAATGCATAGATTAGTAGATAGCAAGATATTAATGTTAATCAGTGAGCCAGGCTTATAATAATGTCATCCGTGGAAACCAGCAGCCCTGGAGTTTACATTCGTTAATGACAGATATTCTATTGGACAAAGCAGGTGCCTGTCAACATGACTGACACTCATAATACCAAGCTCTGAGGAGGTACATTTAATTTAAATATATGAATCTAATCAAAGAATCGTGTAAAAAAATAAGCAAATAACTTGTTGTTATTGTTATTATTGGTGGTGGTGGTGGTTTTGTTTTTGCTTTGGGTTTTTTTTTTCCTCTTCTGGGGGAGGTTAAAGATGGAGCACAGAAAGGGAGGGAGAAAGAGTGAACAAATGTAATCATGCTACTCAATATTCACTATGTAAAAAGTGTCCTGTGTAACTTGTGGGCTGGGATGGGAGGGGGAAGACTGGGGGAAAGTAAACGAAGAGGTGACATTATCCAAAAAACAAAAGAAAAGAAATGTATGCAGTGGCTGACTTATGAAATGGTAGCCCCTCTGTACAACTTATTAATATAGTAAGAATAAAATTATTTTTAAAAATAAGCAAACAGGTATAAATAAAGATCAATTTTACCTTATAAGATGCTAAAAGTTAAGTGCAAAATTTAGATAGACAGGTATAGAATATTTAGATATTTCAGAATACAAACTTGAAATCAGATACATAGCAGTAATGTAGGAGGTGGGTTCTACTAACATAAAATCAGGCCTGGTATGCAATAAATGCAGATATAAGCAAAAAGATTTTTCCCATGAATGTGAATAGTGGTAAAACAAATAAAAGAGGCCCAAGAAAACATGACTTATTGGCAAGTTGAGGCATCTGCTTGTACTTTTCTATCATTACAAGAAGACACTTTGAGAGGACTAACTCATCAAGTGCCCAGAATCTTGTGAGTGTGCGTGTGCACACATACATGTGCCAGTACTGGGACTTGAACTCAGAACCTGGATCTCTCCCTTGCCTTTTTTACTCAAGACTTGTGCTTTACCACTTGAGCCACAGCTGCACTTCCAGTTTTTTGCTGATTTATTAGAGATAAGAGTCTCACGAACCTTCCTAGCCAGGCTGGCTTCAAACTCTGATCCTCAGATCTCAGCCTCCTGATTAGCTAGGATTACAGGCTTGAGCCACTGGTGCCAGGGAATAGAGCCTGTTTGGGAAATAGTGATATCCCAATCTCCACTGGGCACTATTAAAACTACATCAATCCTGGCTACTTCTAAATGGAAGACCCATTCGCTTTCTGGAGCCAAGAAGCAAATGTGAGTTGCTACATCTAACTCAAAGCTCCCTCTACTGGAAGGGTCATGGGACTATTCATTGTCACCATGTAACCTGACATTCACTGCTTTAACTATGGACATGCATGCAGGAACTGACCTTCAGATGTGTCCCTGCCACCTGCAAAAGTGAGACTCAGCAGAGCCCAAAATAGGCCGGAGTCTTTGGTACCTCTTCTAAGTTGGATGGAAGTTGAGACATTAATAGACCTTACACCTTGCAATGACCTTGAGACTAAAAGTGACAACTGAGCATTCTCATCATTTAGGGAGGGAACTCCTACTTTTCTCATCTGAGCTTTACTGCTATGGACTGAATTTTGTCATGAAACTCAAGAAGAAATGTCTATTTCTATTGTAATTTCTATTTCCTCATTTCTATACCCTTCTCCTGCTTACTCAGTGGCCATTTAACAATTACAACAGCAATGGACACTTGCTTGCTGAGCCAAATGCTCTTCTAAGCTCTTTATGCTCTCTGATGCAATCATCCTTACAACAACTCACAAGGCAGAAGCTTATGAAACACACCTAAAACATAGTGACATTAATAAGTTGTCTAAACGCACACAGCCAATGATGGCAAAGGTGGCTTTGAACGCAGGCAAGATTCCAACTCTTTATGATTTGCTACATGCCTGCCCATTAGCGTACAAATTCGAATAATATACCAAGATCCAAATCACAGCCTAGGACAGCTGTTTAAACAATGGCTCTGTGTGCAAACCCCATATTATTCTAGTCTTTGTGCTTTCATCAGATTACGGAAGGATGGTGCAGGGGTAACAGGGCATGGAGTGTCTTTTTCTCTAGCTCCTACCCAGGAAGGTAAAGGGGGCACATGGCAGGGACCAGCCAGGACTCAGAGCCAGTGGTAGGGGAAGAATGTGCAGAACAAGGGCTTTGCTCTCAGACTATCTTAGGAGTGGATATATTCCTCTTTGCTCAAGGGAAGTGCTCTACCACTTGAGCCACAGCTCCACTTCCCGCTTTTTCTGTGATTAATTGGCGATAGAGTCTCAGAAATGTTCCTTCTGGGGCTGGCTTTGAACTGTGATCCTCCGATCTCAGCCTCCTGAATGGTAGGATTACAGGTATGAGCCACCAGCACTGGGGAATATATTCCTTTTTTTTTAAGTATCCTATAAAATTTCACTTCTCGGAGATGGGTTCAATGCACTTGTACTTGCCTAGCATGTGCAAGGTCCTGGGTGTGATCCTCTAGAACTGCAAAGATGAACAAATAAATACATACATACTTGTAAATACATCCAGGCATTGACTTCTCTAAGAAGTATCCTGCTATTTACTCCTCTTGCTTGGCTGAGGTTGGCACTCTATCACTTGAGCCATACCTCCATTTCTGGCTTTTGCAAGTTAACTGGAGATAAGAGTCTTGCAGATTTGTCTGCCTTTTTATCTCAGATTCTTAGATCTCAACCTCCTGAGCAGCTAGGAGTACAGGCAGGAGTCATGGGAACCTAGCTGTGCTATTTATTCTTGTCTTGAAGAAAGACTTTGTAAGTGATCTGTGCCATCATTTATCAAAGATAAAGAGGTTGCCTCAGTTCCTATCACAATACCAGAGATTCACTTTGGGGTCATAGTCTCCACAATCACAGCAAAGGCTATAGGTGTGCATCTTTTATAGCTCAGGCTTAAGTACTATGTAAAGAAAATTGTCTTTTACCACAGATGGGCTGGGCACTAGGAAAAGGATATTGTCAGAGTATGAGCAAAACCAACAGAATGGACTGTGCCAAGACAAGTAGATAGGCTCCAAACACACATGCACACACACACACACACACACACACACACACACACACACACACACACACGAGTATCTATTTCTGACAATATAGTAAACAGTTGAAAGAGCTAATTAAATTCTGACTTGAAACATTTCCCTTCACTCTTCTTCAGGTGGCTTCTTCCCTAGCCCAATACTTTATGTTCAGTCATGCCAGTGTCTGCACTTATTTGTTTAAGTAGTATGCACACATTTTGCACTTCTTGATTCCTATTTTTTGTTTTTTTTTAATTGTCCAAGACTGAGACTTGAACTTGCTATCGGATGATTACTTTTGCTCCTAGGATGGCACACGACCACCTGAGTCATACCTCCAACCCTATTTCTTTCTTTTTTTAAATTGCACTTCATGTTTAGAAATTAGCAATAATTAGCATGTGAATGCCCTTGGAGGAGTTTTTATAGATACTTTCCAAATATTTAAATGAAATCACACTATCTTGCCGGGAGTGATGGTCTCTAACTATAATCCTTGCTACTTGGGAGGTGGAAATTAGGAGAATCCTGGTTCAAGGCTAGCCTGGGCACCTCAACTAACTTATTGGGCATAGTACTACCCAATCCATAGTGGATTACAGATGTAATCCTGGCTTGATATGGGCACAGGTAGGTAAATGAAGATCCAACATCCAGGCAAAAAATATGAGGCCTTATTTGAAACTGGCATCATGGCTCAAGTACTACAGCACTTGCCTGGCAAATTCAATCCCTCCCGCCCACCCCCATACATCTTCAAAGAAACAAAGAACCAACACTCTTTCTGCCTTCTATGATGAAAATAAACCTCTAAGAAGAGAATTAAATTCTCTTAAAAAAAAAAAAAAACCAACACTTATTGCTGGCTATGGTGGTATATACCTGTAATCCCAGCACTCAGGAAGCTGAGGCAGGACCTATGGCAAATTCTAGGCCAGCCCAGGATACATAGCAATACTCTGTCTCAAAAGTAAATAAAGTATGTCTAATAATCACTTGTTTATTGTGTGGCCTTTGACATCATCGTAATCCATTCTATCTGAAGAACAGGAAATAGCCATTAGTCCAGGCTAATGTCTGGCCCCTCCATTTGCAGGGTACTTGCAAGAGGGCTGAGTGAGGGGAGGAAGGTGAGGATTGTCTAGTCCCCTTTTTGTCAGGACCTCTCTGAGTTCTAAATGCCAGGTCCTATCATTTATGGCAAGGGAGAAAGGTGATCACTCACACACAAAGAGATCCTGAATTCAAAACCAGAAAATAAACATGGTATTGGAATCTGACTGTCCTTCAACATCTTACAGCCTTTATGCCCTGAAACCAGAGATGAGCTGATTTTCCAGTCAACTCCCAATAGTTCCAAATAAGGATGGGGATGGGGGGAATCAAAACTTCTAAGGGAATCATTGCACTTACTTTAGGATTTCTCCTTTTTTTTTTTTGGTGGGGGGGGTCGGTCTTGGGGCCTGAACTCTGGGCCTGGGCGCTGTCCCTCAGCTCTTCAGCTCAAGGCTAGCGCTCTACCACTTGAGCCACAGCGCCACTTCCGGCTTTTTTCTTTTTGGTTATGTGGTGCTGAGGAATCGAACCCAGGGCCTCAGGCATGCAAGGCAAGCGCTCTACCACTGAGCCACCTTCCCAGCCCTGGATTTCTCCAATTTTTATGGAATTTTATTGAGCCAAGAATTTCCCCACTTTTGCTATCATTTAATTCTAACCCTACTCAAAACACTTGCAATTCATTTTGTGAATGAAACATGTCTCTGGATACTGAGATACTCTCTGGATACTGAATCTGAGCAGGTTTATCATAATAACAATAAAGGATATTTGCAACCAAGTTAGATCTCAAATCACCTTTTTCCCTTTACTGAGTCATAATTTCACAGCTGAAAGGTTTGCATTAATGTGTGGTGTACGTTTCACTTGAAGATGTGCCAGGGCTTAGGGAAGGGAAGAATGTGGAGAGTGTAATTGGGGAGGGAAGGGTGAAATTGATTGGAATATAGCATTGACTCGTATAGAGATGTAACAATGAAATCCCTCCCTCTGTATAATTGATAAGGCAATAACATGAAATGAAATAAAACAACAACAACAAAAAAGATGTACAGTTAGAGACACCGAATGTCTAGAAAGTATGGTATCTATTTCTTCCCTCTACGAGGTCCCGACATCTTACTCTGTCTCTAAGAAGTGATCTAGCCTTCAGTCTCTTAGCCAAGGCAGTCAATGAAGCAGTAAAATGAGTCAGAGAAGCCTGATAATGCTATGTGACAGTAATTAACATTGAGTGGCCTCAGCTAATGTATCTGGAGAGATGAAGAAGCTGCTCATTGGGCTTTAACCCTTAATGAGGCAAAGGGAGAGTGTGGATGGTGAGGAGGGATGATTTGTTGGAAGCCATAGAAATGGGACACACGTTAAAAAGGTCATTTGCAGAGTACATCCTGGGAGCAGGAAGAAACTGGATTCTTTGTGAGTCCTTAGCCCTGCTTCACCAAGATAGAGCTCTGGAAGTTTCAAAGATGAAGACCCACGCAGTCAACTAGAGTTAAGTGACGTGCCCAAGGTTCACCCAGCGAGTTAGTGAGAGGAGTAGGAAAATTAGAATTCATCATCTTTGTGTTTCTAGTTCATCGCCTATTGAACTGGAGTGAAAAACTATTCTCTGCATAAAGTAGCTATAGAGACATTCTTTTCTGACTTACAGAAATTGAGCAAATGACAACCAGCTTAGGATTTGAAAAGAATCGGTTGGAAACTTGAAATTGAATGAAAACATCATTTCTAAGCACCGTTCTAACACTGGTCACCAGGCTGACATGCTTCCTATAGTCAGACTAGCGTTAATTAAAGACAAAGAAGGAAATGCTGTGAGAAATGGACCTGCAAGGCTTTGTGGATACCACTCATCCAATGCATATTTTCATTCTAAAACATTACTTGATCGCTTACTACACATTGTGTTAAACGGTGTATTACTATACTGAATTAAATGGTAAAAATGCAATGGAAGACAGTAGACGTATGGGTTCTGCACTGACAGAGGTGCCACCTTGGGAGACATCAAATACAGTCAGATCCTCTAGGACACACTTTTTACCTTGCTATTTATGGGCAACTCAAATCCATGAGAAGTGAAAGGGGCTGAGGGAGGATTTCAGTGACAGACAGCTGTCTACCAAGCACAAGGCCCTGTGTTCCAACCCCAGCATGGCCAGAGAAAAACAAAACAATTGCTGGGCATCAGCGGCTCATGCCTGTCATCCTAGCTGCTCAGGAGGCTGAGATCTGAGGATCAAGGTTCAAAGCCAGCCCGGGCAGGAAAGGTTGTGAGACTCTTATCTCCAATGAACCACTCAGAAAACCAGAAGTGGCACTGTGGCTCAAGTGGTAGAGTGCTAGCTTTGAGCTGAAGAGCTGAGAGACAGCAGCCAGGCCCAGAGTTCAAGCCCAGGACCACAAAAAAAGAAAGAAGAAAGAAAAGGAAGGAAGGAAGGAAGGAAGGAAGGAAGGAAGGAAGGGAGGGAGGGAGGGAGGGAGGGAGGGAGGGAGGGAAAGAAGAAAGACAAAACAAACCAACAGCAACAATCATAAACAAAAGCACAGTTGCACTAATATTCCATGACCAGTACTGGATATTATTTGTGTGTTTCCTAAAGAGGAATTTATACATATTTGAGGCATTCATGCATATTTTTCTAAATGCCTACAACTCTTGCTTAATTTAAACAACAAATTACCCCCATTTCTCTTTCTAGCCCCTCCTCTTTTTTCAGATTTTTTTTTTTTTCTCCTTAACATCTGCTAAGACACTACGAGGTAGCTAATAAGTGAAACAGGGAATCTGCATACTCAAAAACTGTATCATCTAGTTTCTCCCTTTACTTTGTCCAGGGTAGTTCTCAGTTCAATTTGAAACCATCCTTTCCTCCTTCCTTCCTTCCTTTTCTTCCTCCTTCCTTCCCTCCCTTTCTCTCTCTCTCCTCTCTTTCCTTTCTCTTTCCTTCTTTTCTTCCTTTGTTCCCTCCTTCCTTCCTTCCTTCCTTTCTTCCTTCCTTTCTTTCTTTCTTTCTTTCTTTCTTTCTTTCTTTCTTTCTTTCTTTCTTTCTTTCTTTCTTTCTTTCTTTCTTTCTTTCTGTGGGTATAGAGCTCACTGTCTTACTGAGTTTCACTTAAAGCTGGTACTCTATCACTTGGGCCACAGCTCCACTTCTGGATTTTTGTTTTGTTTTGTTGGCCATGGGGCTTGAACCAGAGCTTTTGTGCTCAAGGCTAGTTTCTACCAGCTTGAGCCACAGTTCCACTTCAGGTTTGGGGGTGGTTAATTAGAGATAAAAGTCTCACAGACTTTTCTGCTTGGGCTGACTTTGAACTATGATTCTTAGATCTCAGCCTCCTGAGTAACTAGGATTACAAGAGTAAGCCACCAGTATCCCGCTCTATTCTGGATTTTTGCTGGTTAATTTGGATTAATCTCAGATTTGGCTGTCCAAACTGGCTTTGAACTGTGATCCTCAGTTCTCAAGCCTCCTGAGTAGCTAGAATTACATGCAGAAGCAAGTGGCACCCAGCTACATGGAAAGTTTCTTTTTTGGGTAAACATTTATAAATAAATTCCCAGAACTGGGGAGGTGGGAAATAATTGTTTTAATTCTGAATTTTTCAGATTTCTGATGTTTCTTGAGGGCAAATTGGTCCAATGACAGATCTCTCCATCACAGTCAATTTTTTTCTCCCTCTTATTTTGAATATACGCATAGATTACCATTGAAACAAAACTGGCTAGATCTTAACATTTTCTGTGCTTCTAAAATTCTATTTTGTTAGCATTGTTCAAAAAGAAATCTACTCTACCTTACTTATGTAACTGTAACCCCTCTGTACATCACTGTATAATAACAATTTTAAAAAATTTTAAATTCTGTTTTGAGATGAGGAAAAGCTAAATCTTTCATTTCCCTAAGTTTTCAGTCTAAGAAAGCATTCTGCAGGTGACTGTAGGGACATCTAGAGAACAATGCCAACAATTACCAGGTCACTGCCCCATAAACCTTGTGCCAGACAGAAACGAGTTCTAGGTCAAGGAGGTCAAACTATATCACTGAGGCAGGTGAGGGCAAGTAAGACTCCTTACTCCTCATCCTGTAGGGTCTCCTCTTCCTCTTGGATCTGTAACTGGTTCTTCACAGGCGCCAGGTTCTCGGTCTTGGCGTTGTAGTTCCGAAAGCAGACATTGAGCTTCTCATCAAATTCATTCACGAGGTCCTCCATGGACTTAAAGCTGATGATTTCAGAAGAAAAATTCTCAAGCTCAGAGAGGGAGGGGTCCTCCAGATGGTGGGGAGATGTGCCATAGAGACCTCGGGGTGTCTCCTCCTGGTCCTCGGAGCAGCAGGGCCTCAGGTCCTCAAACTCTTCGTCCAGACTCACCAGTGGGGCCTCCATCCTGGCACTGAGATACAACAGCAATTCTCAGGATTTGTTTCCCTGAAAGAAATACATAGGGCAGTGTGAGCTGGGGCTGGGTTTTGTGCTTGTCCTGAGGAACTTTAGTCATGTATTCCATTACTCAATATCCCTTGGAAATAAAAATTCTGTTTTCCTGGCATCTGCTGCTTCTGCACTTCCCCTCTACTGTGCACTTAAGGACTTCAAAATATGTTAATCAATTAGTTAAATAAAGTGAACTTTGGAGATATGTCTGCTTCTAATTCCCTGCTCCAAAAACCAAAGCATTGTGGGTAAGTAGGCAGCTCCTGAGCCAGATTGCCCAGATGTCCATCCTATTCAGATCCTGCCACCTATGACCTTAAACAAGCTTAACAAAAAGAAACTCAGCTGTACTTTCTTTTATTCTTCTCAAGACAGCAATAGCAATCTGGATGCCAGTGGGTCATACCTGTAATCCTAGCTACTCAGGAAGCTGAGAGCTGAGGATTGCAGCTAGGATCGAAGCTAGACTGGCCAGGAAAGTCCACGAGGCACTTATCTCTAGTTTACCACCCAAAAAGCTGAAAGTGGAGCTATGGCTTAAGTGGTAGAGTACTAGGCTTGAATAAAAAAGCTTGGAGGCAGAGCTCAGGCCCGGAGTTCAAACCAGTACTGGTGTGCATGCATGTGTGTGCTCACATGTGCACACATACACATGCATGCACGCACAGACAAGAGCAGCAGGACTACTTCAAAGGGTCTTTACAAGATTAAATCTATAAGCAGGTAAGCGCTTAAATCAGAGTTTAGCAGATGACAAATGTTAATATCATTCAACATTTTTTTCTCACTACTACTACCACAATACCTCATACGTACACAGACCCTCACTATGTGCTCTAAAAAACTATAAATTTTATAGCTTGTTTTGCAGAAACATGACATGACCTGAAGATCTTTACCAATAAAACCTGACACAGCCTAGGCATTATGGTGCACACATATAATCCCAGCATTGAAAGGCCAAGGCAGCCAGGCGCAGGTGGCTCACACCTGTAATCCTAGCTACTCAGGAGGCTGAGATCTGAGGATCACAGTTCAAAGCCAGCCGGGGCAGGAAAAGTCCATGACACTCTTTTCTCCAATAAACCACTCAGAAAACCGGAAGTGGTACTGTGGCTCAAGTGGTACAACGCTAGCCTTGAGCTGAAGAGTTGAGGGACAGTGCACAGGCCCAGAGTTCAAGCCCCACGACCAACAAGAAAGAAGAAAGAACGAAAGAAAGAAAGGAAGAAAGAAAGAAAGAAAGCTGGGAAGGTGGCTCAGTGGTAGAGCGCTTGCCTTGCATGCCTGAGGCCCTGAGTTCGATTCCTCAGCACCACATAAGCAAAAAGAAAAAAGCCGGAAGTGGTGCTGTGGCTCAAGTGGTAGAGCGCTAGCCTTGAGCTGAAGAGCTGAGGGACAGCGCCCAGGCCCAGAGTTCAGGCCCCACAACCGGACCAAAAAAAAAAGAAAGAAAGAGGAAGGGAGGGAGGGAGGGAAGGAGGGAAGGAGGGAGGGAGGAAGGAAAGAAAAGAAACGAAATGAAAAGAAAGAAAGGCCAAGGCAGGAGAATCTTTCAAGTTCAAATCCAGTCTGGGCTACACAAAGACTCTATCTCTAAATAAATAAATAAACCCAAACTGAATGTGAAGTTACTTATGATTTTAATTTATTGTATTTTGCTGTAGCTTTTTCATTATAGAAGAGACTGGTATAGCTGAATGGCAGAGTGATAGACCATGATCCTGAGCTGCACAAGGCCCTGGGTTCTATCCTAACATAAATAAAAAATAATAAGTAAAGAAATTGCTACCCTCAGACCACAGAGAACAGAATGCAAAATAGGCATTCTGTTACTACCTTACAAAATTGGAAATAATCTAAATTCTGAAAGAAACCTAGCCCTAAATATTTTGGATAAAGGATCACAGTCCTTATCTTCTCATTAATAAATAATAGAAGCCAGGTTCCAGTGGCTCACATCTGTCATCCTAGCTATTTAAGAGTCTGAGATCTAAGGACCATAGTAGGAAGCCAGGCTGGCCAGGAAAGTCCATGAGACTCTTAGCTCCAATTAGCCACCAAAATGCCAGAAGTAGAGCTTTGGCTCAATAGTAGAGCACTAGCCTTGAGCAAAAGAACTAAGAAACAGTCCCTGAGTTCAAGCTTAGTACTGGCAATAAATAAATAAATAAATAACAGAACACTAATAGAAACTTCAGCCAAGCTTAGTGGTGTTTATACCTGATATCCCAGTTACTCAGGAGGTGGAGGCAGGAGTATTACCTGAGCCTCGCAGCTTGGGGACAGCACGGCAAGACTTCTTTCTCAGGGACAGACACAGAAGTAAACAGACTTTCCCATGAACACCTGAGTTTTATTCAGATACAGAGCATATGCCTTTGAATGAACTCAATGACCTGGTATCTTGTAGGAAACAACCCAGTCACTTAAGTGTTACAAAGCCAAACTCCACTTCCATCTTGAGCAGTGCACACTCAGGATGCCTTCCATTTTCCAGCAAGCCTGCAAACTTCTTAAACATACACACACACACACACACACACACACACACACACACATACACACACATCACATTATCATGCCCTCTTCATATAGCACCTTCAATTGTGGTTTATCCATCTGTGCGTACATTCTGGCTCCTTTCAATTTTCATTTCAGTTCCTCAAGGGCATAAACAACCTCTGATGTCCTCCACGGCTTCAAGCACACCAGCTGCCCTGTGGCCAGTAATCAATCAATATGTGTTCATTGAAAAATTCTCTTCTGTCCCTATATACAGTTTCCCTCAAGCAATACTGTCTGTCATACTCCTCTACACATGCCCAGCTTCCTTCCCTGTAACACAGAAAGGCAGCCCAACTTTTCTCTCCCAAGCTGTAGGATCATGGATCCAGTTACATGCTAAAGTTGGAACCACAAGCTGAGAAAAGCCAAACAGACAGCAAGAGCCATAGAATTTGCCCTATTAGTGCCCATTCCTTCACAAAACTGGGTGTGGCAAGTGGCACAGTTCATATGTTAGTTTTGCTAGGAGAAAGTCAGTCACCTTTGCATCAACAAATAGTTGATCACTGATGACTCACATCACACCTGTCTGTAATCCTAGTTACTAAGGAAGCTGAGATCTGGAGGATCATAGTTCTCAAAGCCATTCTGGGCAGAAGAGCTTACAAGACTCTATCTCCAATTAACTAGCAAAATGCCAGACCGAAGGTGTGTCTCCAGTGATAAAACAACAGCTGTGAGCAAGAAAGAGAGGGTACAAGGTCCTAAGTCCAAGCATTGTAGTGGCACAAAAAATATCCACACAGCCAGGGACCAGTGGCTCACACCTGTAATCCTAACTACTCAGGAGGCTGAGATCTGAAAATCGCAGTTCAAAGCCAGCCTAGACAGGAAAGTCCATGAAACTCTTATCTCCAATAAACCACAAAAACTAGAAGTGGTGCTGTGTAGTTCAAGTGGTAGAGCACTAGCCTTGAGATGAAGAGCTGAGGGACAGAGCCCAGGCCCAGAGTTCAAGCCCCACATCTAACACACACACACACTTGTGCACACACATATTTTGAGCATTCACAGTTTGCAAAAGCAATATGATAAAATCTTGATATCCAAACAGATGTAAAGATGTAAAACCATATCCTAGAAAAATCACAGGCCTCCCCACAAGAAAAGGAGAAGAGGAAACCAACGGTCCTGCCATCGCTGTTATACTGGGTACTGATTTCTTCATTTGTTATATGAAGCTGCTGATATAGAGCTCACACTTTGGGAAGTTCATTTTAATCATTTCAATTCAAGTTCATTTAATAATTTCAATTATAAGATATATTTTCACTATATACTTAATCCAGTATAATCGAAGTGTTAACATATCAATGTAATTCATATTAAATATTAATGACCTAATTTACATTGGAAATCCAGTGTGTAATTTACATATACAGTCTATCTTCAAATTAATCTCCTTTCAAGTATCCAACAGCCACACATGGCTAGTCACCACCACTTTGCCCAACACAGCTTAAAACGAATTTTACAACTTTGGCGGGGGAGGGAGGAGTTGGGGAGGTGGGGAGGGAAGGGATGGCAGGGGAGAAACAAAGGAGGGGGTAACAATGCTCAATAGGAAATGTACTCATTACCTGACTCATGTAACTGTAACCCCTCTGACAGTATCTTCACAATAAAAATATATTAAAAACAATTTTAAAAGGCAATGCACAACTAATTGTATTAAGGATCCTTCATCAATGGTCTATAGAGTAGGCTCTCGACTATACATATGTATATTTCTTTGTTTTCAGTGTAAATTAAACAAATGAGTTTTACTGTAGTCTCTCCATAAATTCATATTATGTACTTTCATCTGTTCACCTTCACTGTTACTCTTTATTAACCCCCATATATCTGTATTTTAATGAAATTGGTTTCCTTTGTAAACCTAAGTATTTTAATGGGTTTTAAAACATTATTCAGAGAAGAAATACCATAGGCTTTCCCATACTACCAAAGGAGTTCATAGCACAAAAGGAGGAGAAAGGAAAGAAAAAGAAGAGGAGGAGGAGGGCACAGAAGAAAATGAGAAGGAAGGAGAGGAAGAAGAGGAGGAAGAGAAAAGAGGGGGAGAAAAAAGAAGAGGAGGAAATTCATTTGAGAGAACATCAGCACCAAAAAGATGAGCTTTTAGGAGGACGGAGAGTTTAAGGTCAGCCTGTGCTACACAGTAAGACCCTCTTAAAAAAAGAAAAAGAAAAGATGAAAGGGAAAGGGGAGGAAGAAAGGAAGGAAGGGAGGAGAGAGAGGAAGAAGGGATGGAGGGAGGGAGAGCTCTTGAGGTGTAACTGAGAGTAGGGAAAGGCAGCCGAGGGATTTGTTAATTGAGGTAGTGCAGAGCCAGCTAAGAGCCTAGACTCAGGATTCCAATCTTGGTTCTACCACCCTACCTGGGAGTCTGTGGACAAATTATCTGCTTCCTTGTTCCTCAATGCCCTCACTGTAAAATGGGATTTCAAATACTGCTTACCTTGTAGGTCATTCTGTGAACCCAATGACATATTTGCAGTGTTAAGTACAATGTGTAGAACTCAGAAAGTGAGCCAGGTGCTGGTGGCTCACGCTTGTAATCCTAGTTACTCAGGAGGCTGAGATCTGAGGATTGTGGTTCAAAGGCAGCCTGGGCAGGAAAGTTCATGAGACTCTTATGTCCAATTATTCACAGAAAAAGGCCAGAAGTGACCTTGTGGCTCAAGTGGTAGAGTGCTAGCCTAGAGCAAAAAGAGCTCAAGAGCAGCACCCAGGCCCAGAGTTCAAGCCCCAGGATGGGGTGGGGGGAAGAACTCAGAAAGTGCTTGTCTGATAAATGCCAATTAGGCTAAGAAAATCAGAATAACTTGCACAGATGTATGGTATAAGCATGTTCCAAGCAAAAGAAAGGTCACCTCAGCCAGAAGCCAGTGGCTCATGCCTGTAATCCTGGCTACTCAGGAAGCTGAGATCTGAGGATGGTGGTTCAAAGCCAGGCTGGGCAAGAAAGTCTGTGAGACTCTTATTTCCAATAAACCTCCAGAAAACTGGAAGTGATGCTGTGGCTCAAGTGGTAGAGCACTAGCCTTGAGCTGAAGAGCCGAGGGACAACTCCCAAGCCCCGCGACCAAAGGAAAAAAAAAAGTAATCTCTGCCATCAGAGACTATGTGTGATATTTTCAAATGCTTAACAAATGAGAGAACTATTACCCCAAATATTTGGACATTTTTTGGTTGTTTTTATTTTTTACTAAAGCCTTTTTCAATTCATTTGGCTAAAGTTCCTGGGTCACTGGTCCCACTTCCTACTACAGAGAGAGATGAAAGCTAGCCAGCTATTAGCAGATATTTCCACTTGCTTTAAATCTGTGTTCCTCTGTGGGTGTGAGAGTGGAGGGGAATGAGAAGGCATTACTAGCAAGGATGCTGATTCTACACTATTAACGAGCAACAAGGGCCAGTTCAGTCAGAATCTAGGGCCGAGGTTGAGTTTTTACTGCATCAAAAGGAAAAGATGCTGAAAGTTCAGGAAGACTCGAGAAAAAAAAAAACAGATGAATTAAAAAGACTAGAAAAGAAGTAAATACTAAGCTAGAGTCCAGAAATGTGGTTATTCAAAACAGCCCATAATATATCCTGACTGGTTTTTGTTCACTCACTATTCAGGAATCAAGAAACACTGTATAAAGAATCAAAGATGGAGTTAAAACTAAAAACCCAAATTTGGGATCTGAAATTACAGGGCACCCAACTGCATTTGTAGAAAGACTGTAGCAGAAGAATGACTTTCCATCATCCTGATTGGCCCTACCATAGCCTCCAGGTGGGGTCTTTAGTTAGAGTTGGCACTTGACTTGAAATAATATCACATAACTCCTTCTTTACCCCAGGATTCTTTTTTGGGGGAGGGGTCTCATTAGCTCATGTTCTTTTGCTCTCCTTTTTTCTAGAGTGCCTTCATTTCCTAGGGTGCCTTTATTTTACAACAAAAATACCGAAAATAATCTTCTACTTTTCCATCCTGGCAAGCTTGCTACTGTCCTTATCCTAGCTACTCTCAGAGCCCTTCTACCTTTAGAAGTTAGGAGAAGCCAGGTGCCTGTAGCTCATGCCTGTAATCCTAGCTACTAAGGAGGCTGAGATCTGAGGATCACGGTTCAAAGCCAGCCTGGGCAGGAAAGTCTGTGAGACTCTTTTCTCCAATAAACCACCAGAAAACTGGAAGTGGTGCTGTGGCTCAACTGGTAGAGCACTAGCCTTGAGCTGAAGAGTGCAGAGACAGCACCCAGGCCCAGAGTTCAAGCCCCACGACCGACAAAAAAAAAAAAAATTAGGGCTAAAGCTTGCACGGATGGCTCATACCTGTAACCTTAGCTACTCAGGAGGCCCAGGTCTGAAGATCCAGGTTTAAATCCAGCTTGGGCAGAAAAGTCTGTGAGATTCTTATCTCCAATTAATCAAAAAGCTGGAAGTGATGCTGTGATTCAAGTGGTAGAGTACTAACCTTAAATGAAAAAAACTAAGGGACAGTGCCAAGCCCTAATACTGACACACACTCTTAGGGTAAGTGATGTGTTTCAGTGACAGAACACTTGTTTAGAATGTGTGAGGCCCTAGATTCTATTCCTAACCTCTTATACCCCACCCCAAAGTTAATGTCAATACAAGAGATAGTCTGTTCACACTTTAAATAAATAAGTAAATAAAAGAAATGGCAGAAAGAATGAATCCTGGGAGGCTCATCTTTTTCCTTTTTTGGGGTGGGGTGGGGTGTGTGCTGGTAGTGAAGCTTGAGCTGGTGGCCTTGTCACTGTCCCTTAGCTTTCTTTGCTCAAGGCTGATGCTCTGCCCACTTAAGCTTCAGCTCCACTTCCCACTTATTGGGGATAAGAGCATCAATCTTTCCTGCATGGGCTAGCTTTGAATCATGATCCTCAGATCTCAGCCCCTTGAATGGCTAGGATTACTAGAGTGAGCCACAAAGCCCCATGTGTTCTTTTCCTCTGTATCATGGAACCCAGGACTATAGTGTGATTCTGTCCTATAATTTATTCCATTCACTTGGGCGCCCAATAGATGGTGTGGTTTGGAAGAGAAAAGAGCTTGACAGAGACCCAGTAGGAAACACAGAAGCCTCTCCCTGCAGCACCATGATGCAGGATCTGCAGCTTGGGACTGCAGCAAACATTATCGGTCCCTGCTTTGCCGCTCGGAGCCCAGTGAATCCCGGGTGGGAGCTGTGGGAATTTCACCATGCTGGGCCTCTGCACCTCCACGCAAGCCCCACTGCGTCTCCCTGGGTCTTCCTACTACTTGCTCCATAGGTCAATCGATGGTATGCTCCTCCTCCATCTCCATCTCCATCCCTAGCACCGGCCCTCCACTCCTTCAGCAAAACCCAGCAGCTTCCCCGGCTGGGACGAAATAGTTTTTCATTGTCATTTCTAAATCGGCAACCCCTTTGTGGTTCTGAGTCCCCCTCCCCCCCGCTTCTTTCCACTCCTGCTCTTGCATTCACCTCCAAATCTCATAGGCACCCCCCTTTCCCTCGCCCCCTTCTGCTGGGGGTAAAGAAAGGGCTCCTCCAGGCAGCACAATAGCTGGCGCTCCAGGGAAGCCTGGCTAATCCCAGGCAGGCCGCACACACACTCCCACGGCCCCTTTGGGACAAATCTGAGGTGGACACTGGAGAGCAAGTGTGTGTCCAGCGGCGGGGGGGACGGAGAAAGGCGAGAGGGGGGCAGCCAGGGCCAATCAAGCCTGCAGTCTCCGGAGCCCTGGGTCCGGAGGAGAACCGGTTCCCAGTGTGCACACTCACACGCACACTCACTCACACACATCCGCACACCACCACCGCGCCGCCGCTCCCGTCCTTCCTCCGACCTGCTCCCGAGCGGACAGACTGCAGCTGCGGCCAGCGGTTCCGACCCCGCCGAAGGCTCGGGCGCGGGCCGGGCCGAGGCTCCACGCCCTGGGGAGGGGCCGGGCCGCCGCGGGGTCTCGTTCTTCCGCACAAAGAGGAGTGTGGGCCGGGTTCACAGAACCCGACCAGATAACGGTTCTGGACCCCGCCACCTCCCTTCACACACACGTGCACGCGCGCGCGCACTGGTGCACTCTTGCACGCTCACACATGCACGATCGCCAGGTCTGACATCTGCCCGCGCTCCCCAGGACGAGAAGGGCAGGAAGACCTCGGCATCCCCCCCCCCCCGCAACTGTCCTCCTCCACCCACCCCCACCCGACCCTCACCCGAGCCGCTGTGGGGGTCGGGTCCGCACCGGAGGCGACTGCACCTGTGCGGGTCCTGGTGGACGGAGGCGGATCCCGGGTTCAGCCGGACACCCCCATCCACGGGCCTGGGCGAGCGGGGCCGGAGCGCAGCGGCTGCGGCCAGAGAGCCAGCGAGGAGCGAGCCGCGAGCCGCGAGCGCTCCCCTCCCTCGCCGCTCCCTCCCCTCCCCTCCCCGGCCCTCCCCGCGGCTCCCGCGGCGCCCCGCTCCGCTCGGCTCCCCGCCTCCGCCCCGCCCCCTGCCCGCGCTCGCGCCCGGGCTCGCGGGGACGCGCCTGCGCTCGGGCACCCGCTCCGCTCGGGCACGCGCAGGGCCTGCCTGGGCGTCCTCCGCCCGGTGAGCCTTCCCGGGAAAGGGAGCACGTGGGCCGGCCCGTATTCATATTTATGAGTGGTTGCTTCTCGCAGCTTTTGATGCCGGCCCTTCTGCTGCTGCCCTCATGAATATTCATGAGGTCCAAGATGGATGCGCGCGCGCGTGCGTGCCCGGCCTACCAACGAGGATGTCTCCCTCGCAGGGCCTGACACTCCAGGATCCCCACAACGTGTAAGCAGATGGTTTGAATGGGTGGGCGGCTTTGCCCAGATGCCCACAGTCACATTCAAAGGAGCTTCGGGTGTTTTTCTGAACTCCCTTTCCATTCCACTAGGGTTGGGTGGGCAAGCCAGGCTCCCACACCAAAAGGCTTTTCAGATTTCAAGCCAAAGGTGAGGAGCTGGGCAGGAATGCTTGTCTTGTTTTTTTTTTCTTTTTCTCCCTACCCAAACCTGCAGGATGAGAGCTGGAGGAAGCGGAGACATCTGAGTGAAAGAGTTTCAGGCCCCCCGGAGGACTTCAGATAGTAAGGGAAAAATTTAAAGACACAAATTCAGGAAGGTCCCTGGGGCCATGTGCAAGTTCAAGTCTTCCGTTGATGTACTGTGCAGAAGTCTGTGTTTATCCGTCGACATCTAATAGTTCTAATAATTCTAATAATGCAGACAAAGAAGACAGAAAACAAGGCACAAGGCTGGGCATCGTGGCTCATTCCAGTAATCCCTAGAGAGGCTTAGGTAGGATTTCCGTGATCCCAGGGTAGGCCCTGGTAAAACACCTGAGACCCTGTCTGAAAATTAATTAAAGCAAAAAAGCACTGGAGCCTTTGATCAAGACTGCCTGCCCCAAACTGGAGGCCGGTGGCTCACACCTGTAATTCAGGAGGCTGAAATCTGAGGATTACTGTTTGAAGCCAGCCTGGGGAAGGCAAGTCCATGAGACTCTTACTTGCAATTAACTACCAAAAAGCTGGAAGTGGCATTGTGGCTCAAGTGGTCAAATGTCAACTTTGAGTGAAAAAGCTCAAGTACAGTGCTCAGATCCTAAGTTCAAGCCCCAGTCCCAGCACACACACACACACACACACACACACACACACACACACACACACAAATAGAGCCCCTGTTCTGAGTTAGTACTGCTCCCTTCCCCCAAAAGGAAAAGAAGACATAAGAAAATATTCTGGAGTACCCCAATTTTGTCTGATGGCAGAGTACCTCTCGGCTCAACTGAAAGGGAAGATGGTCTTTCCTCGCTCATTTATGCACTCTTTCTGAGGCTATTTTAATCCTTAAGAGGATATGAAGGGGGCTGGGAAGGTGGCTCAGTGGTAGAGCACTTGCCTTGTATGCATGAGGCCCTGGGTTCGATTCCTCAGCACCACATAAGCAAAAAGAAAAAAGCGGGAAGTGGCGCTGTGGCTCAAGTGGTAGAGCGCTAGCCTTGAGCTGAAGAGCTGAGGGACAGCGCCCAGGCCCAGAGTTAAGGCCCCACAACAGGACCCAAAAATAAAAAGAAGATGTGAAGAAGCAAGGGAATATTGAGCTATGAAGAAGACTTGGCCATTTTGTCCTTTTGATGGTATTAACCAGAGAATTGCTTCTTTCAGAAAGAAAGACCAGTATGTGGCTAAAAGATCCTACCTGGTTTTATTACCTTGTGAGTTATCCTTTCTGTGATCATTTCCTCATCTGCATAATGAGGATTATTAGCCAATCCTGGGGCTGTGCGAGTCAGGGAATTAGTATATGTAAAGTACTTAATATGCACTAGTGTTTAGGCTAATTCTCTTCCTTAGCCCTTAGCAGAAGCTAACCAGGACAAGAGATGATTTCTCCTCTTGATCTTCAGAGATCTTGAGGAACCAGTTTGAGAGAAGACTGCGAGGATGTATTGCATATGATAAATAACTTGGTCTGTGAGAAAACTCCCATTCAAAACTTAGTGTTCTGGTGACCTTGTACAGGTCATTCTCTCTGGGCATGTTGTCTTGTGTTTACAATGGGGATGCTAATATCTACCACAAGGAGTTATGTAGATTAAATAATACAATACATGCAAAACTGTTTAGAACAAGTGTCCAGTCTCAAACAAATTATAAGTTATAAATAAAAAGACCAGTGCTTCTATTCTAATAGGCTTGAATACTATTGTCTTGGTTAGGAGAGAATACGTACAAAGGAAAAGTGCACATATTTTAAATGTTAAGTGCACCTGCACACCCAGAGACCTCCGCAAGGAAGAATGGAAGAGGGCTGGGAAGATGGCTCAGTAGTAGAGTGCTTGCCTTGCATTCATGAGGCCCTGGGTTCAATTCCTCAGCACCACATAGGCAGAAAAAGCCAGAAGTGGCACTATGGCTCAAGTGGTAGAGCACTAGCCGTGAGCTGAAGAGCTGAGGGACAGTGCCCAGGTCCAGAGTTCAGGCCCCATGACCTACAAAATAAGGAAGGAAGGAAGGAAGGGTGGGAGGGAGTTGGGGAGTGAGTGACTCAAATGGAGTTGGGGAGTGACTCAAGTGGTAGAGCACCTCCCTAACAAGCACAAAGCCTCGAGTTCAAATGCTAGTGCTGAAAAAAATAAAAAATGAAGAGAAGGAAAGAGGGAGAGAAGAGTAAAGAGAGGAGGAAAGAAGGAATATATCATCTACAGAGAAGCTAATTATTTGAAACAATGGTTTAAATATTGAAACAGAAGATAGTAGGCATTCAAAAAATGTCGAGTGAGGGCTGGGAAGGTGGCTCAGTGGTAGAGCGCTTGCCTTGCATGCTCAAGGCCCTGGGTTCGATTCCTTAGCACCACATATGCAAAAAGAAAAAAGCCAGAAGTGGCGCTGTGGCTCAAGTGGTAGAGTGCTAGCCTTGAGCTGAAGAGCTAAGGTACAGTGCCCAGGCCCAGAGTTCAGGCCCCACGACCGGAACCCCCCCCCCCAAAAAAAGTCAAGTGAATGATACAAGATCTACAAAAGGAAAGTTAGACAGTGGCTCTGAATGGCCAGGTTTAAACCTTGACTCTATAGGTAGTTCACTATTTTTCTTAATCTCTCAAATATTTTCTATTTGTAGGGTTTTTGTGAAGGTTAAATCCCTTGAGAGTTCTTAATATCCAGTTACTGCTTAATAATAAACCAAGATGTTGTTAAGAAAAGCTGAGGCTTACAACAAAACAAGAAAGAGAAGAAAGGAAGGAGAAAGAGAAGGAGAGAAGAAGGAAGGGAGGGAAGGAAGGAAGAAAAAGAAGAGAAAGGAAAGAAGGGAAAGTGCCTGGGCATAAGTACTAGAATAAACAATAGATTCTGGAATCATACTAATAATTCTAGAGGGTGACGCTAATGAATCTTGGTTTGCTCTGTGAAAGAATCAAATGAGAACATAGAGAATATGTCTGACCACCAACTTGATGCAAAAATCAATGTCCCTCCTAGATGCTGCTGCACTACTTACACTACTTACACACCTGCAATGACATGGCTTCACAGTACTGTCTCAAAAAATGGTTTTTCAAATCTGGAAATTGTGTGTGTGTGTGGGGGGGGGGAATCCTGAAGCTTTAACTCAGGGCTTGAGTGCTATTCCTGACCTATTTTGCTCAAGGCTAGTACTCTATGACTTGAGCCACAACTCTACTTCTGACATTGTTGGTGCTTAATTGGAGATAAGATTCTCAGGGACTTTTCTTCATGGGCTGGCTTCCAGAAGCCATCCTCAGATATCAGCCTCCTAAATAGCCAGAATTTACAAGTGTGATCTACCAGTACCAGACTGGAAATGGATTTTTAAGATGAGAGATTCAATGATCACAGCATATCTATAGTGAACATTATATTTGACTTTCCTTAGAAGGATCCTTTTTGAGGAAGCTAGTATTCCATGACCTTTTGGAAATGAGCCATGAAGTGTTTACTGAAAGCCTACATGAATCACAGCCAAGAAAATAAAAATGAGCTCATACTTGCTAACATTGTCAGATTATTTGATTTTTCTATCTCTGGTTTGATTCTAACATCTAATTTGGGTCTATATTCATTGTCATCCTTAATCTCCCATGTTGATTAAATTCCCTGATTTGCTGTCACAAGGGAAATGGAATATTCCCCAAGATTCAAAATCTATTTATAGCCTGCTAGTCAGCAGGTAATTTCTCCCTATCACAAAGCACACGTATACCAGAAACAAGACAATTTAACTTTCAAAAAGAATAGGCAATAATGTAACAATTGAGAACACATTGGCCCCAGAAAAATGACAAATATCAGAATACTCACCCTGTTTCCTGATTAAGAAAACAAAATACACAAACTAGTTGGCAAGTAAAGTAAAAGAATGAGATCTCCTAATGAACTAAAAATCCCCAAAGTGCAAATGCAATAAAAAAAATTTCTATACAGAAAGACAATTAGAAATTTCAAGGAAGGAAAGCCACAGAAAGACAAAGAATGAAAAGGAGGAAGGAAGGGACGGAAAGAAGGAAGGAAAGGAGGGAAAGAAGGAAGGAAGAAGGAAGAGGAATGGAAAGAAGGAGAAAGGGTGGGAAACAAGGGAGAAAATGAGGGAAGGAAGAAACAAGGGAAGGAAGGAATAAAGGAGAATCACAAATTGGAAAGAAGGAAGGGAGCTGGGAAGGTGGCTCAGTGGTAGAGTGCTTGCCTTGCATGTATGAGGCCTTGTGTTCAATTCCTCAGCACCACATGAGCAAAAAAAGCCAGAAGTGGTGCTGTGGCTCAAGTGGTAGAGCACTAGCCTTGAGCTGAAGAGCTGAGGGACAGTGCCCAGGCC